CGTGCCTTCCTCCCTGCCAAAGGGAGATACTCTTCCGAAGGGACAACCACCTGCCGAAGCTCCGAACTGCCAAACCTTAAACACAGGAGACACGTGTCATCATCACATCAACTTGCACAAAGTCCCACATCGGAACTTTGTGCAAACCTCCTACCTTTACTTCCTTATAAATAGGAACAGTAACCAAGAAAAAGGGTAACTTCTCTCTCTCACTATTACTGTTACTTTGCAAAAGTCACTACCTCTAGCTGACTCAGGCATCGGAGAGCCTTCGGCCGGCACCACACCGGTGTCCGAAGCGTAACGATTGCTTTTCCTATCTTTATCTTCTGCAGGCTAGCCCTCTACCGAAGGCCCAGGCCCTTCTCTTGCTAAGGACAACTCTCTATCTCTAAGTTGACCCTCTCCGAAAAAGAGCATCAACAAAGAAGGTGGGCAAGGCTTGGAAAAGAGACTACTTGTTGTATGGCCCACCTGGCACTGGAAAATCCAGCTTCATTGCAGCCATAGCTAATTATCTCAAGTTTGATGTGTTTGAATTGGAGCTTGATGCTATTGACAGTGACTCTGAGTTGAAAAGGGTTGCTGTCTACAAATCGTTCCATTTTGGTGATTAAGGATATTGATTGCTCCGTCAATAAAGATAAGGAAAACCGGGTCAGTACCTATTCTTTGTTTGTAAAATTTTATACTAAGCGACATCGGGGAATCGAATTTAGAACCTTGGATCCTGGGCTGAATTTTTATTAGTATATTAGATAGTTTTGTGATTTTGTTCTGTAAATAATAAAGATTAATATTATATGTTGATATTTGCATGCATGCAGTTCACACTGTTAGGCCTACTAAACTTCATGGATGGTTTGTGGTCAAGTTGCGGAGATGAGAGAATTATTGTGTTCACAACAAACCACAAGGATCGGCTTGAGCCTGCATTGCTGCGTCCTGGTCGAATGGACGTCCACATTCACATGTCCTATTGCACTCCGCATGCGTTTAAGGTTTTGGCCTCCAACTACCTTGGTGTTCAGGACTTGGACCGTCATCCTCTTTACGGAGAAATCGCGGGGTTGCTAGAGAGCACAAAGGTTACTCCTGCTGAGATTTGTGAGGAACTACTGAAGACAAATGATTGAACACAGAACAAATGGTATAAAAGAGTACAATGTGCTGCCTTGAAATGTTTCTTATTTTCGATTGAGAATTAATATTTGTGGGACAATTTGATGCCCAGATATATGAAGGCCTCTAGCAGTGATTGAAATGCATCTGTAGCCTTCTAAATATGTATACTTTTTTTTTTGTTGGACTAAATATGTATACTTTGATTAGAGAAGTATTTAAAATTGGTACTTAGGTGACGATGGGTAAATTTAATCACATAAACAAGACACAACAACACAGCAATCTTCACACACTTTAAACCTTGACCAAATACAGATATGATTAGTCAACTGCTAATCATGAACAACCACAATCAAGAGAACACACAGAGCATGCCACAAAGTTCCTGCAACCCTAGATGATTACTAGTGACAACCTAGGCACTCAGAAAGACCCGTCAATCTAGGCATCCCTTGTGCTAGCAACAACTATGGTGAAAGTGTGTGCAATCATCATTATCATGTAAACATCAAACAGCAGATAAAGATGACTAGTCAACCACCAAGAACACAAACCCAGAAAAAATTACAGATATGCACAACAGATTTTGTTCACCCAGAAACCCACCATTGGGAAAAACTGGGAGTCATCAACCGACCAGGCACTCCACTAAGTAGAAAAAGATTCTTACAAAAGAAACACAACCAAGCTCAAGAAGCACCTAGGTCTATTTAGGAATATGAGTACCTCCTTTGTGCAATCTTTCAACTTAGCAAAACTTGAAGCTCAGTTCTTCATGGCAATGGCAGCTCCTTCTCCAGCTCGTTCATCCCATGGCACTAGTTTGCAAGCTCCAACACAGACCGAAACCAATATTTGGATTTAAAGGAGAATGACCAATTTTTTCAAGAAACCATACTCTTGAAGAAATCAGTCTTGAATCTGACCTAGATATAAATGAGAGATGATTTAAATAGCTAGATGCAGATTCAGGTTTCAAAAGCAGTTTTTCAAAAAGAAATCAATTGGAAAAACTCATAGATGAAATAAGATGGTTCTCTCAAGGAAGAAGAAGCGAAAGATGGCAAGCCAAACTTTCCAAAACTTCCACCCAAAAGAGACGATTGCCAAATGACCAAAATCGTAGACTTTACAGACCAAAAAATTCCTTAGGGTAGAAACCCACATGGCAGCAGAGAGAGAGAAAGAAGAATAAGACAAAACAGTTTGTTATCCAGCTGGAAATCCTACAGAGCAAGGATGACTAGTCATCTGAGAAACGGATGACTAATCATCATTTTTATGAAGACTGTTTTATGAAATGATATGCAATGCACAATACCTTTTTCAACTTGCTTGAACCTCCATAGAGTAGAAGTTAGAGAAGAGCACCAAGAAAGGTTTTCCTTAATCTAAACTTGAGCTTGATAAATAACAAAACACATCCTATTACAAAGTTGTCAAGGGAAGCCAAAAGAAAATAGTAAAAACCCCCTTTTTGGCTTTCCTTGACAACACACTCTCTAAGAACACTCAACCCAAAACCGAAACTAAGGAGATGATGGAGTGAAAGTACCTGCAAGAACAACCAATCTCCTAGGCACAAAAACAAGCATATTATCACAAAAATTTTAAAACAATATGCAATGTGGGGTTGAGAGTGTTCTCCTCCTTATTGATAAGTAACGTGCAAAAAGGCAAAGAGATAGAAACAACATACAAAAGGCTTTAACCACAAAAGGATAGGCAGATATGAACAAGGTTAACAGCACATAACTTAGATTAATGACGAGTCAAATAACAGTTGTTTAAAACAGTACAGAACATAGATTTATGACTAGTCAAATACCAATTGTTCAAAACAGGACAGAACAACTCCCGCTATCAAAATGCACAGACTAACCATAATGTGATTACAAAATAACTCCCCTAACGAAATGCACAGACTAACCACAATGTGATTACAAAATAACTCCCCTAACGAAATGCACAGACTACCCACAATGTGATTACAAAATAACCCCCACTATCAAAATGCACAACCTGTCCAGAATTACACTTCCTATCTAGAACACAGTCAAGAACAACACCATAGCTAAAAAACCAAAGAACCACCAGAATCCACAGAGTCATCCTAGTTCTCAGCTACGGGAGACGTCAGAGGATCTACATCAGCAGCAGCAGCGGTGGCAGGAGTCGAAGAGGACGGAATGAGGCTCAGAAGATGCTGAATATACTCCTTCTTGGCAGCCAGCTGAGATCTAAGAGAGGCACTCTCAGAGGAAGACGACACAGAGGTGAGAAAGGTTCTGGAAACCTTTTGGCTAAGGGCAGCAGAGGCCTTGCCATACGGAGCAATGGGAGGATGCCACTGATCGGACTCATGAAATACCACCTCGTTTCTCTTACAGAGACGCTGGATCTGACAAGGGAAAACAAGAGTCAGAGAAAAGTCTGAAAGAAGCAAACGGAATGGAAGAGAAGGAGGAATTTGTGACTGAACTCGAGACTGAGGAGAACAGAGACAGGAAGAGACAGACGAGACTGACGAAGGAGAGGGAAACTAACCTAAAAAAAGGAAAAAACGCAAACGACACGACCCTAAAAAAAAAGTACCGCTCAAAACAAAAAAACAAAAAAATAAAAAATAACTGCCAAAACGAAAAATGAAAAAGACGCATTGGTCAGGAGACAAAGCGGATGGCTAGTCAACCACAAGAAAGATGACTAGTCAACTCAGGCAAAATTGGCACAGGCAGAACCGGATGACTAGTCAACCACAAATATGATGACTAATCAACTAAGGCAATAGCAGAACGAGCATCAAATGCAAAACACCCAGATGACTAGGCAACCATAAGCATAGATGACTAGTCAACTAAAACAGCATTGTGACAAACACCAAATAATATTGACCCTGTGAAAGACATGGTTTTGGTTTCTAAAAACACAATCATGAACTAGCACATATATCAAGTGATCAAAGTTGCATTAGCACAATAGCCTAGACCAAGTCTTCAACACATGAAAGAAAGTGAATGAAAAGGAAGAAAAGATTAAAACCATATGCAGTGTACATAGACAATCAACTCTGAGAGATAGACAATGAGATGCAATTCATGCTCAGAGACAAGGCATATTTAGGAAAGAAGGAGGTTTAGAGCCAAGGGACACAAAAGATGATATCTTATCTCTCTTGGAGAAACACGTATACAATGCATTCTTAAGACATGATCATAGTATGGGCTCACAGCAAAATATCATCACTCTCTATTGACAAAATATTTGATGATTTATTTTGTGTTACTTGCACATCCCAAACATAAGTGCTTTGAATGGCCCAATTTTACGGCTCTTTGCTCTAGATTCTTCAATCAAACCACCTTATACCTTCCTAGAGCCGTGACTACATTGGTCACACTTCCCCCTTTTTTTGTTTAAATTTTAAATAGATTGGCTAAGAGAGTGAGACCAGCTAAGAGATAATAACACGAACAGTCCAAAATGAAGCAGAGAAACGTGGCTCACCAAGAGGACAAGATAGCACGATTTAAGTCTCATCTAATAGCATCTTAAACAAGAAAAAGGATTATGCACAAGTCAAACAAAGCACAAAAGCATTCAACATTCACACCATAAAAAATGAGAGATATGAACAGTGACATTTCAACATCAAAACATAACAAAAAAATTTAGACTTGACTAGGCAACTACAAGCAAGATGACTAGTCAACTGTTTTGGAATGTGCTGAAGATAAAGAACAGACCAGCTAATTAATCAATTGAGCAAAGGCCAATGGACTGGCAAAGTGTAACATGTTTCTGAAAGTCCAAGGCCTTGGTGAGTATATCTGCTAGCTGTTTTTCAGAGGGAACAAATTCCAAAGATAAAATTTTGTCTTCCACAAGATCTCTAAAATTCACATGTCCAAGCCATTGATGCCACAAAACACTTGTTTCATTTACAACCTTGTTGCAAACTACTTCTTTTGCATCATTGACACCATCAATGCAATAGCAATTGTCCCTAGACCTTGCCACACTCATAATCTCATTGCCACCTTTTCCAATGATTTTGCAGCCATGCTTGGAGAATCTAACTTCTACTATTCCATCATCACACAGCTGACTCACACTAATGAGATTGGATGTGAGACCCTAAACAAATCTAACATTCTTAAGCTCGGGTAAACCAGGGATACAAACAGTACCTTTTCCAACAACTTGAGACCTATGACCTCCACCAAAAGTCACAGTGCCTCCATCAAAAGTCACAGTGCCTCCATCAAAGGGGGTGAGGGATGAGAAAACATTTTTATCCCCAGACATATGTTTGGAACAACCACTATCAAAATACCAAGAGTTGGTGTTTGAAGCAGCAAAAGCATTTAGCACAACAAGAGATTTGGTATGACCTCTTGCAATCCAAGAAGACTTAGGCACAATGGGAGAACTCATTTTGAGGGAGACAAGTTTGGCTATCTTAGTAACTTCATTCATCAAATGATCAACTTGATCTTGCAAAGATCTGGGATTCCTTTTAGATTTTGAAGACAATTTTCTGGTCTTATCTTTGCTAAACATATGACAGACTGGTCGAATATGACCAGTCAACCCACACCTGTGACAAGTTGGAACAAACTTAGGTTTCTTGACAACTTGTTGAACATCTAGAGGTACAGTGACTGGAGTTTCTGATTTGACAAACTTAATGGTAAAACTAGATGAACTAGAACCAAAGTGATTAAATCCAAGACCACCTCTATCCCCATGAAGTTTTCCCATATTCAACATTTTGTTAATTTTTGAAGCACCAATGGTCATAGATATAATCTTCCAATTTGCTTCATTCAATTCACCTAGGAGCTGTTTGTTTGAGTTCTGGAAACCAATGTTACTTTCCTTGAGCACATTAACTTGATTCTCAAGATTACTCCTAATTGACACAAGAGCATCAATTTCTTTTTCTAAAGACTCAAATTTGTCACTCAACTCCTTTTTGGTTTCTTTCAAGATGAGAATTTCATGTTGAAGATCTTGGTTATTGGCCTCAAGTTTGAGGCTCTCTTCTTTCAAGGACAAAGTCTCCTTAAACAAACAATCATATTTTCTTCCTAATGACTCGTATGACAGGTCATCTGACTCAAAATCAGATTCATCAGATATGGGCTGCACAGAGGCAACAAAGGCAACATGTTGGTCATCATCATCAGAGGAAGATGAATCCTCTTGAGACCCTTCACTTTCACTCTCACTCCAACTCACTTTCATGGCCTTGTCCTTTCCTTTGGAATATTTTTTCTGATTGTTTGCACAGTCGGCAGCATAGTGTCCAATGCCTCCACATGTGAAGCACTTGACAGATTTTCTAAAATCTTTAGTGAAAGGTTTGACATCCTTATTCCTCTCATTAGACCGATCAGTTGATGGTCTAAACAGTTTCTCACTACCAGAGCTGCCCTCTCTAGCAAACTTTCCCTTATCCTTAAGAATTCTCCTGAATTTTTTGACAAACAAAGCCATCTTATCCTCAAAACCTGAGGATTTTTCACCACCTTTCAGAGAGGAAACATGCACTCCTTGAAGTGCAACATTTTTTGATTTTTTAGTGTCATTTTCTTCCATATTCAACTCCATCTCATAGGTTTTCAATTTTCCTACAAGCTTGCCAAGCTTAATTTCATTTAAATTTTGGACCTCTATGATTGCGGTTTTCTTTGCTATAAACCTAGATGGTAGAACACGAAGAATTTTCTGAACAACAAGAAGCTCTTCAATAGGTTGACCTAGACTCATGGCTTCATTTATGATCATCTCAACTCTCCCATAGAACTCAGAAATAAACTCAGTTTCAGACATCCTAAGTTCTTCAAATTGTGCAAGCACCATCTGAAGTTTTAGGGTTCTAACTTCGTCATCCCCTTCATGAACCACCCTTAGTTTATCCCAAGCTTGTTTAGCATTAGGGATGTGTTGTATATGTGCAAACTGTAGGCTAGACAAAGC